AGACTTTCCTCAATATACATCTAAGATCTGTTGATCCTAAGCTACATAAAATACTTTTGTTAAAAGATACAGCAGGTCTTTGACTCATGAAGTGTAGCCGAGGTCATGATCTGGGCTAAGTTCTTATCTATACTGTCTTTAACCCTGTGGGGATGTCATGCAGTGAGTCACAGAATGAAAAAATATGAGCTCCAGCAAATAAAGTCCTACATAAGGATGTAGATCAATAAAAGACTGTTACTTGCCCCTCCCATTTGCTTTTATTTTGCAATTAAGTGAAATTCATGCCATATCAAGTGCTACTTATTTCCTAAACAACTTAGGAGGCTGTTTCTGTACGATACGGATCATTTCATATTTTTTAAGGGCCAATTGGCAGGTCATGCACTATTGTTTTTGTTAATAGTTTTACCACTTCAGATTCTTTCAGATATACAGTAGTTAAAGCTAATATGAACATGTAAATCCCAGAAGATTGTCACTATACAGAAGTGAATTTCATTGCCCATGAAAAGCAGAATCAAGCTACACCTGTGTGAATAATTTTTTCTGTGTATGTGATATAACAGTGGTCTTTATGCTGATAGGCTGGCTGCTAATGGGATGGTGTGTCATGCATGGACTGTGACATACTAGGCCTGAAGACCTAAAATGACAAGTGAAACCAAGAAAAAGTATATAGAAACTTTGTTCAGAAAATTTCCACAAGGGTTGACTAGGTTTTGTTTTATTTTGCTTGATTTTATAGCTTTACAGGAGTTGGAAATGGAAATAATGTATCAAAATAAATTATTGCTAACATTCTTCCGTAAATTAGAGAATAAAATTTTACCTGATACACAGAAACAACTCTCATCTGAGTGTTTCTGATATTACTGCATCTTATACAAATGCTCAAAAACTCAGGAATCATCACTTTCGTAGAACTGTATTTGTACCAGCTTGAAGTGCCATGAAAAGAATTTTTTTAAGTGGGATCTTACCTTTATTACTCACATTACTTGTGATACAGGAGTACTGTTCTTGGGCTAGCATAAATCAGCATCTCTTCTGTCTTATTGACTTGAGTGATTGGATCACTTGAACTTATCTTGAAATTCTTACTCCATCTGAAAGCTTATTTTGCATAATCTATACATTTACAACAAACCATTTGAAAACCACTTTAGAGCAGTTCTCAGTACACAGCCTGGGGTATTCCTTGTGGTGATAGCAATATACTGCCACATTCAAGGGCTGACAACACAAGCGAAGTATGATGTTGCTTATAGTCCGTTTCTTGCATAGTATCTCATGCTAGTCAGCAGGGATTGTGGGCCATTAGAGTATTTCAATTTTGGGGGGTATTCTTCTGGACTCCTCAAACTTGAAAGCCAAGAATCAAAATAATCTGCAATTGGCATTTAAAATACGACCATCTTTGCTGGCTTCTCTGCAAGATTACAGTACTTGTAATGTAATTGAGATAATTTTAGAGCTAGAGGTATCGTATCCAGCTGGGAATCAGGTTGTTTCCCCATTGTAAAACACCCAAAATAGCGGATAGCAATCCTTAAGCGTGTTACATGAACAGTTCTGTATCTTGCCAATACTGGTGTTCACACCAGTTATTTCCTCTCCTTTTCAATCAAACACACAGATACAAGTGAAGAAAGTGGGGAACGATTTCTTTGACAAGTTACTTAAAATAAATGGGAGATTTTTGAAGGTGCTGAGAAATTTTGAATGACAGAGATAGACCAGAACCCTGTGGTCAGAGAAAAAATGGTACATTCAAAAGTGCAGAGCAAAGCATGAAACCATTTGCAAAAGGGAAAGTATTTTATGATTTTGTATTCTGTGTCAATATATAGTGGTGATATCCTTATCACATAGACTTGTCTGGACACACAAAACCTGGAATGGTGGTAAGGAAGTGTTAGCAGTATGGACCCATTTAGCCAGTGGTGCATTTACAGCTAGCAAAATAGTGAGTTATGCAGATCATCCCAAGCATGGCTCAATAAATTCAAATTGAATTTGTTTGAGACATGTTCCATTCCTTTTTGCTGGAATAGCCAGGCTGAGGGCAGGTTTCACTACACATGGCACAGCGGTACTCTGGGCCCAGGACAAGTGTCCCATGACTATTAGTGCATACACCAGATCAGAGAACAAATGCTAGATATATTGGCATAGCTTGAATTCTTTGGATGTACTATTCTAACATTCCCATGGAAATACAGTACTTTTCTGCCCCTGATTTTATGTTGATGTATAAATTGAAAATTCCTGTCAGTCCAGCACTGAATATAACCAGCCTTCAGCCTCAGGTTCTTGTTGGTATCTGGTTCATATTCAGACATGGTGAATGAAACACTTCTGTGGTGTAATGGTAATTAATAGCAGAGACTCAGAAACAGCTCAGAAATGAGGAGTGCTGGATGTAGTCCCAAGTTAGCACTTGCAGGTGAGTTTCGCGGTGCAGGATTGAAGTGTTTTACCTGGAGACCTCCTGTTCTTATCATATGATTGCAGGAGAAAAAAAAAAGTGTCTATTATACTTCTAAAGTAGAAATGATTCACTGCAGAGAGTATCCACCATCTTCTTTTCAGGGCTATATTTCAAGAGGTTTGGCAGTGAAGCAGTCTAGCTGTGTGAGAACAGAAACCTCCACTGGTGAACAGGGAAAGTGGCTCTGTAACATCAGCCATGGAACAGAAAGCTGAAAAATGGGGTGTGTGTGTAATTTTAATAAATACTTAAATGTTCTTTAACTTAGTTGTTTGGGTTTGGGCTTTTTTTTCCCTTTTGAATACATAAATGAGATGGTTTATGTTTACCACACAAAATCCTGTCTGTTTCATCTGGAAAAGTGTATTTTCTCCCTCTGTGTAATTCCAGTAGTTATAAACGGGAGAAGGTGGTGAAAATATGTCCTGGTGAATTCTCCCCAGCCCCCCAATAGGATGTCCTTTTTTTCTTCAGGAAGCAAAACCCAAGCGTATTCTCACTTGCTTTGAAAGGCATAATCTGGTGTTTTAAAGCATTGGCAGTGGGGGGAGAGGGGGGCACGATTCGTTCACCCCCCGGGGAACGCTGCCGGTGCTCGTTCGCCGGGCAGCGCGGCGAGGAGC